AGCTAAAAATATTTTGCTAATCACTAATTAAAAACTTGCTAAAATATATATTTATTTATATTTATATTTATTTATATTTATATTTATTTTATATTTATATTTTATATATATTAACATTTTTGTTTTTATTTTTATTTTTATTTTTATTAATATATACTCCTTTCCAATGAGTTCACAGGGTAAATGGTATCAAGCTCTTTGCAACAATAATCTTAAATATACATCATTGAAGCGTTCCAATAGGACTTGGCTAGTTAAGAAAAAAAAGGAAAATAGAGCTTGATAGTTACCACAGGAACACTTGTAAATGGAATCATTCCAACTTCAGTGATAACAGTTGTTATGTATTTTGAAGGTGTCAAATCATACAAGATGTTTAATAATTTTAAATCTGGTTTTTGAAGCCAATCACTCAATGAACCAGATTTTGGTATTGAACAGGTGGAAGTATTAATTAATTCATCAGGGCGTGCTAAATAAACGAACAAACAATAATGATTAATCAATTCATTCACATCCAACTGATTAATTAATAAATTAAGTTAAATTTTTTTAGTTTAATAATACCTTGTTCATTAGTCACAAAAGAATCTAATTGTACTTTGTCAGTGAATTTATAGGTTTCACAACATACGATAACTGGAATATCTTTTCCTTTAGCCATCATTGCTACCAATGCAGTGCCAACACGCGAGTAAAGTGTTCCGTTTGACATGAAAGCATTTGCACCAAGAAAAACTTTTGAAACATCTTTTAATACAAATCCAAGTGCATGAAGAAAAGCATATGTGCAATTGATTCCCACGTTTACCAATTTATTTAAAAGTCTTTTACCTGAAAGTAAATAAACAAAGAAGTTATGACAAAATATACATATATAATTAATTAATTTAATTATTAATTATTATTTATCACCTTCTAATCTTGGTCGAGAATCTATAATGATGACTCTAAACTTTATTCCTTTTGCTTTTGCTTCTAATAACAATGCTTGTACAACTGATGACCTAATTAAATAATATTAATGTAAACATCACTCTATATGCATATATATATACACATATATAAATAGAATACCTTGCATATGTTAATATTACATCACCATCTTGAATTTTTTGTAACCCATATTCAACAATCATTGTATCAGCGACTGTTATACGATCGCGAATAAAGTTATCGATTTTGTCACATAATGCAATTTTTGCCTACATAATAATATATAATTGATTGACTAATG